GTTCATCTCCATATACAAACACAAACCCGTCCCTAACTACCCGCCGATCTGTCTTCACAAATTCCCATTTGAGAATGTCACTTCAACCATAAACCATCAAACGTCCCAGCCCGTAAGTCGGTAAATGTATATTTTCACCCATGAAGAAAAAGGAATGTGATGTCGGCAGCATGAATGGAACCACCTTATCCATTGTTCGCTCATCGTATTACGCAACACTTTGCCGGAAGTCGATCGATCTCCCTCTGTGTGTCTCCGCTCTCCATTTTCTGGAAGTGGGAGTTTTTTTATTTCTAAGCAGTATGACACGGACCTCGGGTATACGGTTTGGTCGGACCGGTTAATGGGCTATTTCATCCCCGGTCTACCGAATGATATTGCGTAAGCACCAGTTTTCTCGACCGTATTCGAGTTATTTCAAACAACAGGGGATCAAACGGGATGAAAAATAAGCACGAATATAAATCAATCACTAACTAACCAACAATCCCAAAAAACAAGATTTTTCAGAGGTTATTGTGTTTTAAATAAACGTTACTATACAGAAAAACGTTGTCTTATCGGTAATTCCAAATGAAGGATGAGATAGCTAAAAATTGTTTCTGTTTAATATTATCTATCTGTAATCCGGCGAAATTTATGAGACCACAACTCTGAGGAAAAATAGTTTAATGCATACAGTTACCACATCTCGAAAGAACGTTTAGTGGGAATTTTCTCCAATTTTGGTTAGATCCGATAATTAATCCCGCAATGCCTCACCAAGATACCACAATAGGTTGGTCTTTCTGTTCCGTTGATAACAAAGGCGGATATATATTTTTTTCAACATTAGGTGAAACTGGGTTTAGTAGTGATCGATAAACACCCAAATAAATTTATCTTGGGCAGTTCCAAATCAACTGGTTGCTTAAAATTTGCTCTAAATTTCAACAGGCATCTCATATTAATCATGATCAAACATTGTGGGCACATGTTTAAGCCAGCATTTAAACCGGAAGGTTGGAATGAACATTGCCTTAAGTGCGCAGACGATTTGCAGCCGAGCTGGCAGATGTTGGCCGGTAATAATTATTCAAAAGTCATATATCATAATTTGTAAGGGTTGGGATAGCTTTTCATTTGTAGAGGATACAATAACTCTGCATGACAAAAACATATTTAAGAAGTCGGATAAAACTCATCCAGTTAGAGCAATTCTGTGAATGTTATAGTGTTATTTCTATTTACCAAAACAAATCCTTACGGAAACCACAAACGCGTTGTTGAGCCTTTTTACTGCCGAATTCAAAGTAAACCACTGCAACTTCATTTACCTCAATGTTTTCTACTACTAGTACCAAAAAGACCAGGACAAAGGCCAGCCTATTTTGATCATTCTATTTCCATAATAATTTGTTTTCCAAAGTTTGAAGTAGAGTTGTGAAGGTCCATTTTGTCAGTTTCTCTCGCGTACGTCCTCACCACACTCTGAATTGTACAAAATTTATTATTTGCCTCTACGTACATGTTTGCAAAACTAGTATTTCCGTTTAAGTGCTGTGAAGCGACAACCTGAAGTTTGGGAATGATTTACAAGTCCTTTGAATATTGTCAACCAGACTAGATTTAACACAGTTTGGGTTGTTTAATTACCCTCTCTCAGTATCTCGTGATAGAACAGCAGACTGTTTTTAGGCTTTAATCTTTAATTAGGGTTACATACACTCATGAATTAGACGTTATTTAACATTATATCTTCAGAGATACAATAGCACTTAAAGATACACTTAAAGGATACAACGATACACTCAAAATTTTTTATCTCGTTGGTTTCAGTGAAAATTTCAAAGAAACAAACACCTGATTTGTATTAATTTTATTCTAATACTAAACTTTTCTTACACGTCAGCTGCTCTCAACATTATACAATTTTAAATAAGAAGGACCAGATATTTATGATTTTAACTTTATGCAGAAAAGGCCAAAAGCTCAAGGCGATTCTGTCAGGAAAATAGGAACAAGTATACATAAACCGATCGTAGATTCCCAAACCGTTCGAAAACTGCGCATTTTCACGATCATGTCTATGCCGGCTTGCGCTTGCATTTCAAAATGAGCTAAGTCAGGAACCAATATACATACTATTTGAAAGACAGCAGCAATCGTACCTACCCACCCGTCCACCCTTTAGAACGGCATATCATTAACCAAGACAAAAGCACACAAGACAAGACAAAGTAGTTCAAGAAGAGATCACAAAGCAGACAACCAAATTACCTGACAAATGGATCATTTTATTTATTCATTTTTGTCTGATTTCAAGCTTCTTACGCTGTTGTCTGTGTCATCAATCGGAGTAAATGTATACGCATTGTGGCGCACTGTGTTGTTTCATTTCCACCAGAATATCCGTTATGCCCAGGGTACTGATGAGCCTATTGAGGGCGAGCGTATATTGATGCGTTAAGAATTTTTATCATTTCCCCGTTATTCACCACTGAATTATAAATTCAAAAAATGCGAAAACACATCACATATGGGAAAATAAATATGTAAAGCCGTAAGTCCACAAAAATGTCCAAGAAAGGAGTTCAAAGTTTGTGAGTATGATCTTGTTATCAATAAAAATTTTTCCTTAATCCGTGCCAGTCGGGTTGGCGGTGTTTGGCGTGTTTACTGCGTGGTAATCTTTCTTGAATACCAAAATGTTGTCTATTAGGATACTTAAAATTTATTCATGAGTTGAATTTAATAGTCCGTCATTTTATTCGGCATACCTATCCAATAGCATTCGCAGTTTGCCTGCAGTATGATAACTTGCAACAGTACATGCTCAGCCGCAGTTTCATACACATCAATATATCGAATACTTTCCACTTAGATACAATCATATTTTTCAATTGTACGGACCTGGTCTCAACTCACAGCATAACTTTGCCACCAGTGGATATGCCCCATGGCCAAACAAATTTATCACTGCACCCACTCTACAAATGCCATTTGATGTTTTATTACATAAACATTTATCTAAACTATTTTAGCCCAGATTCCATTGGGTTTTTAGGGTGGGGCAGGAAAAGGACGGAATCAAAGCAAACAATATGAATTTTAGTATATCGTTAAGAAAATAAAGCTTTTGAAAAGATTGAGCGTATTCCCCTTCGTAAACATTATCTCATTGTCTTGGGTGAAAAGTATTACGGTCCATCAAACGCTCACAGCCAATGGAGCTCTCACTTCACGTCACATTTTTCGGATCTGTTTTTTGTATCATCTTTTTGTTCACGGATGTGTAACGTGTCTCACTTGGAGCAAGTAATTTGAGCTTCACTGAAACACCAATGATACATTCACAATTCGCGCTATTCTCGTATTCCCAAAGTAAATGCGTTCCACATGCAAATGAGGAAGTTCGTTCAACCAATAAACGACTGGGGTAAACAGAATCACATTATGTCTGACTTTTCCGGATTATAAAATGGTTACCAATGGAGTGATTGTACAACCAGAGTCATCACTGGAGAGCTCCAGAGATCGTGTTCGAATCCCGTCACAGCTGTTACGAACCAATTTCTTCAAACTCGGTGGGAAAGTTCATGATGGAAATTTATTACATTCGCACAGTTGGCTAGAATTAAACATGTACAGCAGCTCTTTTGCGTGCCATATGAATTTATTTCAGTATTCAGTGGATATCCATCATGATCTTTCTGACTCGTAATTTACATGAAATTAGGCAAGTCATTGCATTGATGGTTTCTCTCAACTTATGATTCTCCCGATCACTTTCTTATTCTGTAGGTCAAATTAGCAAAGTTTTAAGCCTAAAAGGTTACCAGTGCGTGACGAGAATTCTATAAATCCTGTCTCAGGCCTTTGCACATAAAAAAGAAATGGTACACTTTTCCACAAAGATGTGTTTTCTTGTTAACTAGTACTGCTGTTCAGTTGTTTTTAAAATCTTTGATTCAATCAATTGTAATGCTATTCCCGTAAATTCATTCACCGTATTTCTTAATTTATCAGCATCGATCGTAAGGTCACAAGCACATTACAGTATCACTCTCAAACGTTGGATATCTAGACTCGACGCACAGATGGATACCAATCGTGTTCTTCTCATGTGTTTTGGGAGGGGGGCGTTTGAGTATCATCTATTCCCAAAAGTATTTGTACCCACTTGCTCGGTCTCACACGGATTGGTGGGGATTTCCTTGATTGTCGGACCTTGTTTGTTTCAACTTGATTTTTTTCAACTCATCTGAATTTCACACGATTCCCTTTTCCACATATATGATCTTTAAAATGTACCCTGTATACACTGTGACGTCCGAACCCACCTATATGAAATAGCGTAAACAATTATTCAGCATAGTGGTGGATAAATTTTGAATTGATCGTCCTACAGAAGGACACTGTACATATAAACAAATTTGAAGATGCACTTAAATACACTGACAAATCTGAAGTATACGGAGAAAACGTACAAATGTCCAGGTTCTTTTTTGCCACATTCGTTCTCCTCAAAAACATTACATTCATTCATCCATCGTTGTTAGAGTGCGTGCTAGGATTCAGATAAAGAACGATTGGGTACAATGGGGAGGGGGTATGTAGTGGCTACCGGCTTCTCTTCAACATTTGTGTTTCGCAACATATAGAGAGGGGGGAACACTGAAAATCGTGTCCTCCTGTACCTGAATCGATGCATCACTCTGATTGCAAACATACAAACAGAGCGAACAAATTGACGCGGTGTAATTAAATTAGAGATGATCATATTTGAGTAACTTACAGTCCACAGAACAGAGGAGCATATCGTGTTAGGGATTTGCACATAATGAGAGCAAATTGAAAGACGGAAAACAAAATTAATTGCTGATCGTGTTATTGTTGTAGTAGAGGGTCCTGTTTAGAGCACAGCCGAGATGAAAATGTTGCACAACAAAAACAGCCAGATCATTCAAAGCTGCCACCGTCGGACTCGAGTAGATACATCATTCACCGGAATCAACCAGTCAGTCCACATGCGGACTCGTTTCCGGGCTACTGTCATCCTCCTCCTCAAGTGGTCTAGGGCTATCATTTTGTGTATCTCTTTTACTCGACTCGGATGCGAGTTCCTGTACGGTGGCCGACCGGGAACGAAGTAAATCTTGTCTGGACTCTAAATTCCAATAGGCGGCATGTATTCTTCGCAATTTGGTCACACTGATGAGCGAGGAAAGCGGGTGAAATGTATCACAATTCATTTGGTTGATTTTATCGCTCGACGAGTGTGTATTCGCACCGTGTGCGGGTCCCAATCGAGTGTACTGTTTCACATCATTTACCAGCAGATGACCTTCCGGAGTAATCCGTAAATACTTTTGTATTCGTCTGGTTTGGCGTATGTATCTTAAACGACAATCCAAATAACTGGGACTGAAATTAGTCTTGAAACCGGGTGCAATAGACGAAAGAGAACAGGATTTGGCAAACGTCCGCTGATAGGTCATATGTCCAGGGAATGTTGGTGTGAACTCGTTTGGATTGTAGAAAAGCGGGTAGGAATAGGAATTGGGAAACGTGGTCGACTGGTCCAAGCATAAAGGTTCCGTTTCTTCTGATTCATGTAGTTTATCCTCACACAGAGCACAGTTTCCCATATCAGTCAATGTGGATGCGTCTGAAGTCGATTCGGAAGCACCGGTTTGTACGAAGTTGGTGTCGTGTGTCAGACAAACATGCGAATTGAACATTCCCACCCACCCCCAGGATCGGAATAAAAGGGAGACACGTATCTGTCAGTGGCCTACATCAAAATTAGTCAGATACACACTCACTTAAGCCTGAGGACTGTCCCTATACGCAACGTATATATATATATATATATACACTGGCTGAGAACAATCGGAGATGAGCTCAACACGGGAATGACGCAACTTGCTTGGCTCGAAAAATCCGTCGTTGCAAGCAGGATTCGGTCCGCACTACGACACGCACGTGTATTTATACCGTTTGTGGAGTATGTCATGTCCCTGGATGGAGGACGCCGAGGAGCAGCAGGCGCTGTATTAGTAGTAGTAGTCCTCGCCGTCGTTGTAGTAGTAGTAGTAGCGAGACAGTGGAGGAGGAGGCGGATGGGGTTGGGGGAACCGGACGAGCGAGGTGCTGTGTGTTTGTGCGTTGGAAAACGGAAGGACTGGGAACGGGAAGAACGACGGACAGACAAGTGAACAGAAACGTGCGCGCACAGACACGTAGTGCACATGCATGCACACACACGAATCGCCTGATGGTTACGGACGGACGGTCGGTCGGACGCACTCACGCCCCGACGAATGCACACACACACACACACACACACACACACAAGCACACACACACATACACGCATGCATTCAAACAGCTGACTGTCCCTTTTCTACGCCTGTTAGTGGAACAGACTATCGATTGACCCGGTTTGGTTAGTCTTTTGCTCAGTACGATATACTAAAATCGAACCTCGCGCCTTCAGAATGATAAAAACTGATACTACAGCTGTGAATATGTCCGTTTAATCCCAGGCTAATTTATGTCAGTTCGAACTATTCAAAGATTTTAGCCTAACCGTACTTTCACCCGTCTTGGTACTGGTGTTTTCATGTTAGCCTGCTCGGTATACTCTTTTTGGATCGATGGTGCATATTTTCCTGTCCCTTAATAAGGCGGGTGTGTGGATCACTTGAAACGTCAGCAATCCCACTGGAGCAGCAATTTGGAAAACTGATTTCCACTTAGAAAAGATCTGTTCTCTAGTCGATATGAGCTTCAACACATTTGCCTGTTATTTTGTTCATAACATGTTCATTCAATCGATGGGTCACGATCGCTTGTTTGCGAGTGAGGAGAAATACAAAGAACCAGGGGCAGTATTGCGGAATTTGACCTTGAAGCCTGGGTAACCGGCACCTACTTTCCATTACTGCGGCTGTAATTCGTCTCTTGAGGTCTGAGTAAAACCAGGCCATTCGTTTAGCTTCTTGAACCAAAAACCTACTCTATACTCGGTCTCTGTAAACAAAATAACCTGTGTTTTGCTGGATTTCTGTTCTATTGCAGAAGAGATAAAACCGATAGTTCCCAGGACCTACTGCTCAATCGGGATAACTGACACAGTGAGCCGGAGAACATTCAAGCTAAACACCACGAACCTCCGGCTTTTCGGAGTAATGGAATGATTTTAAACTGACAAGTGGTTGGTTCGCAGATTGAAGTCTTATGCGGATATTGTGAAAGTTCAGTAGCCTCGGTGGTATTCGAATCCACATATGGACGCCACCTACGCTTATCGTCCACGCGTGGGTTGTAATCCCACGAGGGTACTGAACATTTCACAATTTCAACATAAGGCACTACAGTGTTTAAAAATGATACCTTAATGATTAACTATTCGCTAAAAATTCAGGAGCTCTTTCGTTGTGAGAAATTTAGCGATGTCTTATGTGACCCTGTTTATAATTGTTTTAGTGATGTGAGTACCAAGTGAAGTTCACTAATCTACCGGTGTGGTACTCTGAGACACGTAGTTTTGAGGAAACCCGTTCGGTCACTGCGCGCTAACCGACGTATTCTGTTAAAAAGCGAGAAGTGCCTAGGTTGTGACCTTTGGTTGGGGGAACGTATGAGACAATCTTGTTAGAATCTCATGCGAAAAGCCAGTCACGAAGTGTGGTCTGCAAAAGGCTCTTTCAAGCTTTGGTCTGACGTAATTGTTTCTCCGGATATAAAGAGGCGTTCGTGATCCATCAATAAACTGAAAATCGTAGTTGTGCCGAGGGTACTTGTAGGTTCTGTAATCTATAAAACAAACCGGTCATTGCAAACCTGTCTGCCAGTTATGTGTCTTGTTACAAACAGTCTTTCACATTGGATTGCAAACAATGCGTGGCTCTCTCCGGTGCAGTTTCGCCGGATACTTCCTTTCGATCATAAACCTATTCATCGTAAAATTTGAAAACGAAAGAAATCCCTTGAATGCATAAACACTAGCGATAAGTACAATATACAGTTTCTACTGACTTTCAAATCAGTATAATTTTATGCATTACGCTTTAATTAAAGTTGTTGGTTTAAAAGAACAATCAACGTTTTCTCAAATGAAGCCTAGAGAGGCTAAACAAATATTCACCTCTGGTTGGAAATCTAACGTAAACGTTGGCTGCGGTTTTTGTAACAACATCCTCGCTTCGTCTCAGCTCTGCAGTGCACTGCAAAGATCACTACCCGGAGCTGGAACTTCTCGCCCACCACCGCCACCATTGGAACGCATCGATCCGTTTTTGTTTTATTTCCTCTCAAATCGTGCAAAAGCGAAATGTAACGGGTATTCCGAGATATGGAGAACACTGCTTTCATATATGAAACCATAAATCTCTCTCTCTGCGTAATTTATTTTACTTAAGTTTTGATTAGTTCCTATGAGTTTCGCTTCCAAAGAAATAACGGCTAAGCATCCCTGGTTATCTGAAGCCGGAATTATCTCGATTTATGGTAAGTCAATTGCTCAACCTCGACTGCACGCACTGATCAGAGTATACTGTGTTATGGTCAAATTAAATTCACTTTTTGTCAACACGTGCATCGCATTTTGAGTGTAGTCAGTGTAGTTGCGCCGAATCACTAAAGAAATATCCTGGGACAAATCGGATTTGACCACTGGTTTGACAAAAACATTCCTCACGATATGCTCTGCTGAATAGTATATTTCATCTCTTGCCTTCTTGTTCGGAATGAGACAGGAGAGCAGGAAATCCGGGTTTGTTTTTTCTCTCATATGCGGCTTTCCAAATCCATTAGGAAAGAGGACTTTGTGACTCCACCAGTTGCTTTGTGAATGCATCCAACCAGGTAAAACATAAGAAATTGTTTCGTCACATGGAAGTATATTGAAAACGTAACGAAATCCCAGTGCACAGTGGTGTTCCGAAAAAGAAATTCACAATGGTAACCATACCGATGCTCTGATTATAAGAATATCAAAATCCCCCAAATATAAGGTTAAGCAATTCTATCTCCGTTTATTCCTAGTAGTATAATGCAAAAGGCGGTGCTCGGTCGAGGATAGTTGTTTATTGAGGATTTCAGAAAGGACATCATCAATTCGGCATACAAAACACAAAAATCTAATCAGAAACGTGCAATCGCAAATCCTGGCCACGCTACGGGCAATGAATGTACAAATCGATGGTTCTTCTTTGAGACCCAGCAAATTGCCCTTGGTGATTTTGTTGATTCTTGGTCGTTGAAAGTAATCATAAAATATGTTACCTAATAGTTACAATAGTTACCTAATATTTAATAGTGAGTAGTATCTCATAACGCTGTTTTGTCATTGTGTATAAGTCGGAGCTAAATCCTCGACAACCACTGTTCCCGTTTGTCCCAGTGTGTTATTCTTTTTTATTCAATACGTAATTGTACACACAATAATTATAATGGGACGACACAGACAGAACCAAATAGCTCTAAACCATTCAACCGACGAGGTTTTAAGTTATAAATCGTGTTACAACAATATTAATTATCGCAAAAAACATTTAAACCGCTATGTTTCATTTTTATTGCTTTAGCTGACAAGAAATATTCGGAAACGTTATCACAATCATGCATTTGGTCCATAGATGTATAAAAACAATCAGACTGAAAAAATTTGAGTCTCCGAAAGCAACAGTAAACTTTATTTCACCAAAGCTGTAAACGAAATTCTTCTGATGAAGAATTGTCGATTCCGTCAGATCAATTTCTCAGTCAATTTCTTAACTGACTAAGCTGAAGAGTGGATAAACTATATAGATGGTTATCATCTTTCAAAACCTTTCAAAATTAACAACTTTTCTCAACAAACCTTTTTCTCCAGTTTCCTAAACATGTACAAATTCATGTGATATGAGATATTGAGAATGTGGGTTACTTGAGCGCCACCAACACAATGTACACACCCAACTGAATATGACTTCAAGTCAAATCATGTCTTGCATGAATCCCGGAACATGTATTCAACTTTGTACAGAATAGGTAGACGCCGCCAAAACACGCAAGCCTTTGTTCCACAGTAGTTAGCACTCACATTTCTGCTCTCATGTAGACTAAACTTCCGTCATGCTATCTAGCCTAAGCACAGATATGGTTCATCTTTTCTACCCAGCGTTTTGAGGAGGAAGTTAGTTCCTGCAAGGAGAGCACGGAGAGAAACTTCAATGCTGCACTTTGAATTCGGTCGTTTTGGCGCAAAGGTTTGACAGGTACTACTACCACCTTACTTTTAGATGTCAATAGCATAGTTTGCCTTTTTTTCCATCTGTAATTTCCACTCTTGCTTTTCAGTGTCTCAAGGGGTGCGTTGTAGGACCTCAAGTTGTATCCCGCTTACCAAATTACTTAAGCTGATGAGGTGCAGTGAGGCTTCGTATCTCAGCAGAGGACAACACAGGTTGGGAGGAAGAACCTTGAACGATCGAATAGCTAAGGGCTGTGGAGTGACTGGAGGGAGCCATTTTGATGTTGAATAGAGTGAATACATATTGATTAGTTAGTTATACGTCCACAAAAATGAAAAACGATATGGTTATCCCGCGCCAGACGTCATCTTCTGTCTCGAATGTCCAGACCAGCTAGCCTTGCTTGCACACATACACATACACACAAAAACACTTCAGTGCAATTGGAAAAATGTTCAATTTAGTACATTTAAACTAGACTCTCATGCAACAAAAACCAC